CTTCCTCCTCTCTGCCAGTCAAACCCAGTCTCCAGCACCTCTTGGGTCTTGACCCCAGTCCTGTCTGCTCTGCCACGTGCTTGCTTCTTTGCAGATAGGACACAGATCCCATTGATCCCAAACTCTGTGGGAAAGTGTTTCAGAGCTCTGCTTGCAAAAGTGCCAAGAGGAAGGGGCTGGGGGGGCGGTTCAAGCCCTTTGCAATCCTTTGCTGCAGGTGAGTCGAGAGGTGCTGTGTTAGCCCATGAGAAGCCAGTGAACCATCCTCCTCCTCAGGAGGACGCCTCCTTCCACATGCCATGGCTTTTGACACAGAACAAGTCACAGGATCCTGATGGGGGACAGACCTGCTGCCAGGGAGGGGCACGGCCATCCGGAGAGACTGCCCGGGTCTGGAGATCGCACGGGGGAGCAGGGACAGCATAGGAAACGCTACATGGGAAAGCCCTGTGTGGGAGCCCAGGAGCCCCTGCCTTCCCACAGCAGACTTATCAAGGCACCAGTTCAGAGTGGCGCTTTCCATGGGCCAAAAGGGAAGTGCATACACACCAGACTTCTCGGGGTCAAGGATGCTGGGCAAGCAGTGAGCCGAGAGGCTGCAGGGGGCAAGGGAGGGAACCGGGGCGTGGGGAGGGAGACACAAATAGCAAAATGAATGGCTTGAACTTCCTATGTTTTATGGAGGCAAATAAAAGGAGATAGAGAGGGGGAGAGAAAGGAGATCTGAGCGCCTGCACACGCTCTCACGCTCACATAAGCCAGCCCAGACCCCCAAAGTGCACTGGTGGCTGGTTTGGCGTGGCACCCTGCACCCACTTGGCTGGCACAAGTCTGGGCTGGCTGCTTGTCTGGCCCAGTGTCCCCTGAGGGCACCTCATGAAGCGTGACAGGCTGCTGCTTAGCACTGACTCCTCTCCCTGTCATTATTATTTTGAACAGCAGCCAGTATAATGAAAATTGTTAGGAGGAAGAGGTTTAGGGAATATCCAAAGTGTCTCAGAAGAGCATCTGCAAAGCTGGAGGTCCAAACTCCACCCTGGCACTTGCGATGAGCAGGGCCCAGGGGAGCCATCATCTCCTCTGTGTCCTCCCTTCCATGCTCCCTGTTTTGCAGGGTGGCAGAGGCTGGGCTACCACACAGGGTGGTCCTGGCCACATTCCCCTTCACAGCTGTTGCCCACTGTAGCCAAATCCTGGAGCCTTTCCTGGTACAGGACTTGTCCCAGGAGGTCCAGATGGCAGTGTCCCCAGGCATGGGCTGCTCACCAGCAGCTCCAGGACAGATGCAGTGGGAGGCTGTGGGGAGTGGAGGACAGAGATTCTGTGGGCTGCTCTTTCAGAGTGGCATGCGTGAATCTTGCAATATTTCCTGGGAACCATGATGCTTCCTGTTGTGTTAGGAGGGCCGGGGCCACAAGACAAGGGGTGGAGAGGGTCCTTGGCTCCTCAAAGGAGAAAGCAGGATGGTCTGCAAGTCAGAAATGCAAGATGCAACTGATGCCAAATTAGCCAGGTTTCCTAAGTGTTTGTGTGAAGGATTTTGGCCTCCAGGGTCAAATGTTTCCAGGGCTAGAAGATTAAGGACATCAGATAGCTGCAGCAAGGAGGGAAAAAGGCAGATCCCTTCCTCCATTCTGGGGCTGGCACAAGTGTGTGGTTAGAGGATTAGAGCTAGGAGTGGTCCGCTGCTGCCAAGGCAGGCTCACAGGGGTGAAAAGGAGGGAAGACGCATCAAAACCCCTTCCCAAAATAAGTGCTGCTCTGGCAAAGCCTACAGCAGCTGCTCCCTTCTCCTGGCTTGGGTTCTACCAGCTACTGGCTGTCTGTTGTTCCCTGGATGGGGTCACTCACTACCAGCTCAGAGCCCACCCAGCGTGTCACCCAGGGACAGCCAGTCCTTCGAGTGGTGACCCCAAGGCTGAGGTCCTGGAGATGTGGGCACCCCTGCAGTTAGGGGGTGTCTCAGGCCAGAGCTTCCCTGGGGGATTTATGGTTGGTGGGTGGGTGGGTGGACAAGGCTGAGTCCAGGAGGGCCTCTCATCTCTGCCTTACCAAAAGTGGACCAGACCAAGCCTCCAGTGGTCAGGAGCACGGAAAGGGTGGAGTTTGGTGGCTGATTTCAAAATGATTAATGGTGACTTGAACTTACTGGGGATACTGGAAATAAGAAAAGCTCCTCTGACTTGATCCATCTCCACCACTGCGAACAAATCTTCTGAGAGTCACTTGGGAAATACTGTAGCCCAGCGGGAAAGCCAGGTGAGATTTTGTGGGGGTTTATTTTGCAAGAAACTTTTCCTGACTCCCCCAGCTCTGCCTGCCGAGGGCAGGTGCCAGCAAGGCAGCACATACAGAGATTTTCAGGGTGCCTCTTGGTGTGCAGGGTCAGTTAAAGCCCCCTCCCAGCCTCTCCCCAGAGCTCTGCTCCAGCGACGGGCTTGCCCCTGCTCTGTTTTTAGCACATTCAAGTAGCTGCTTTCACAAGAGGTAAAAGAAAGTTCATGGATCCGCTGACAGATCAGCCCATGCGGGAATTTCTTTGGGAATTCCTGCAATAGCAGGTTGGCTCCCGCGGAGGTGGAGTTTCCTCTGGATCTACCTCCACCCAGGCTTGAGTAGTGCTCGGGCCACCAGCTCCACGCTTGGGGGGCCGGGCTGAGCGACGCCACCGCTGAGTCCCAGCCAAGGTCAGCCAGAAACCCTCCCTGCTCTGCAGAACGCCTGTCCTGTTAACCCTTGGGAACAGCAGAGCCGCAGGCTGGCAGGGTCGGGCTGCAGAGCCGCCCCGTGCCCGTGGGTGGGTAAGGGGCAGGGGATGTGCCTGGCAGGCAGACGGGGCCGCAGGCTTGAGGATTTCATACCATCTTGCTCTTTGGGGACCTGCTGCCAGCCAGGCAGCGGTGGGGCCCGGGCGAGGCCGGTGGCCACAGCGGGGGGCCAGCGCTGGCGGGGTGATGGGTTCCCGCTCACAGGCCGGGAGCGATGGGGTGACGGCGCTCGGCATCGGTGACTGTGCTCTCTGGAATCCGAGACACGTCCCCAGCCATACTTGTGGTCAGGAACCATCTTCGCGTTGCAGCGTTACAAACCACAGGCACAGTGGCAGCAGTGCCACTCGAGCGTGTCTCTGACGCCAAGAACCGGCGTGACCTGACCCCACACACGGGACAGGCAGCTGCCCGCTTCCGAGGGCCTCCAGAAGGTCCCCTTGTTGGGACTTGTTTCCTCCTCCCTCCCAGAGGTGGGCCTCTCCAAAATGGCACCCCCTCGCTCCACAGCCAGACCCTGCCAAGGGTTGGAGGCTTTCCAGATGCTGCAGAGGCTCCAGACAGTGGGTTGGAGGGAACTTGCATTCGCAAACATGGGGACAAGCCAAGAAGTTTCAAGGTATCATGCCAGGGAGAGGGTCTGGAGCTCAGGTTTGGTCTGGGGACACCTCTGCTGTTCTGAGGATGAACCGAACTGTCTCACATATCCAGGGAGCAGTTCTTGCTCAAGGAGATCCCAGAGGTCTGTCCAGCTCCGTGCGAGCTGCCATAAAGAACAGCGAGTTTGCAGCTGTAGGTACCTAATGGGCAGATTTGGGGGGACAGCCACCCAGCAGAGCTTTAGCACTGATCTGTTCAATCCTTCCCTCTCTGGAGATATTCATAACCCACCTGGATGAGTTCCTGTGTCACTTGCCCTAGGTGAAACTGCCTTGGCCAGGGGTTTGGACTGGATGATCTCCAGAGGTTCCTTCCAGCGCTAACGATTCTGTGATTCTGTGATTCTGCCCTCAGTGACTCAGCTGTCCCAGGACAGAGCATGGGTTGGAGCGGAGAGCTGTTCAGTTCTGGTTCCCGAGACCTAACTGTGCAGCTCGAGGCCACACGTCGCACATCCCCGTGCTTTCACATGATCTGCAGCCCCGCCGGGGCAGGACGCGGCCGCTCTTTACCAGCACAGTCAGGGCTCTCTCCGAAACATCGGTGCTTGGCGAGGGCTGTGAAGGCGGCTGTGCAGGAGGAGGCATGGGAGTTCTCCATCTGCCAGGCGCCAGCTGGAGGGAGCGACAGCGCTCAGCAGCAGCTCCCGGGGGATGCGCTGCCCTCGCACAGTGTACGAGTGCCATCTACAGGGGGGTCCAGCCTGGGCCCCCCCAAAACCGTCCGGCCCCTCGCCACCTCGCCAGCCCCGCTGGTAACTGGTGTTCAGTCCCCAGGGTCGTGTGGGGGGCACAGCACCTCAATTTATCCGGAGAGAGGGGCCAGCGCTGCTCCAGGGGCTCAGAGCAGACATGGATGAGAGTGAGAGAATTACAGCATGGTTTGAGTTGGAAGGGATCTTAAAGTTCATCCATTCCCACGCACCTGGCATGGACTGGGACACCTTCCACTATCCCAGGTTGCTCCAAAGCCCCGTCCAACCAGGCCTTGAACAATTCCAGGGATGCGGCAGCTGCAGCTTCTCTGGACAACCTGTGCCAGGACCTTACCACCCTCCCAGGGAAGAATGCCCAATATCCAATTCCAATTCCCAATAGCCAACCTAAGCTTGCACTCTGTAAGTGAGAAGACCTTCCCCTCTGCCCTGACACTCCACGCCCTTGGCCAAAGTCCCTCTCCAGCTCTCCTGGAGTTTCTTTAGGCACTGGAAGGGGTTCCTGGAGCCTTCTCATCTCCAAGCTGAACAGTGCCGGCTCTCAGCCTGTCTCCAGAGCAGACGTGCTCCAGCCCTCGGAGCATCTCCGTGGGCTCCTGTGGACTCGCTGCAGCAGCTTGGGACAGGTTCTTCCCGCTGTTTCCCGGGACAGCCCCTCGCGCAGTGACCGAGGGTCGCTCAGCCGCGACCCCGCACGGAGCCCCCGCCCCGCGGGGCGAACCGCCCCCCCCACAGCGCCCCGCGGCGGCCGGGCGGGGCAGCGCGGCGCGGGCGCGGAGCGTGCTGGGAGCTGTAGTCCCGCTCCGGGTGGCCGCGGGCGGGGCCGGAGCCTCTCGAGACTACAACTCCCGTCGTGCCCCGCGCGCGCCCGCCCCGACTGCGGCACCGGGCGCTGGGGTGGGCACCGGGCAGCGGCCGCAGCTCCCCCCGCCCGGACCCCCGGCCGGCCCCGGCCCCGGTCCCGGGCAGCAGCGCGATGGGCGGGGAGGACGAGATCGTGCGCATCGCCAGGCGCCTGGACAAGATGGTGGCCAAGAAGAACGCGGTGAGTGGCGGCGGCCGGGCCCCCGCAGCCCGGGTGGGGTGAGGAGCCGCCCCCTGCCCCGGGCTCTGTCTGGCGGCCGCGGCTCCCCCTTCTCCGCGGGGTCCCCTCCTCGCCGCCGTGCTGTAGGGACCCCCCGCCTCTCCCTCGGTGCCCGCTGTGAGGGTCCTCCCCTTCCCCAGCCTCCGTTTGGGAGCCTCTCTCTTGGTGCCGCCCCCGTCGTTGTCGTGGCTGGAGCAGAGGCTCCCCCCCATCAGGGTGGGCATCCCTCCCCCAGACCTGCTCTCCTTCTCCCTTCCCCTTCCATTGCGGAGCCGTGGGATCCACCCACTGCCGGTAATTGGGGGTGCAGCTCCTTGTTCCCCCTATGGTGCTCTGGGACCCCCCATCCCAGGCCTCACTCACTCCCTGCCCCATCTCTCAGCACCCTGGGGCTCTCCCTGTCCTGCCTGCAGGGTGTTCTCCTCCGGGAGACCATCCTCGGCCCTCCTCTCCTATTCCTTTGGGAGCCCTTGGGAAGGGGGATCCACCCTGGGGGGATCCTGAGTCTCCAGTGTGTCCTCAGGGAAAACCCCAGTGCTGATGGATTTGCCTCCTGCATCCCCATCCCATGCCGGCACTGCTTCTGCTCACTCGTGTGGCTGCTGGAGTGTGGAGGGCTGGAAAAGCTGCACCCAGGGGGTCTCACAGAGTGAGCTGTGAGCGGTGTCACTGCCTGGGGGGACAGTAGCCAGTATTCCCCTACTTAATGGGGGACGTCAGTGCTCGTGGGAGCACAAGCAGCATCGTGGAAGTGCTAAGGCAGGAAGCTGACAGGGGGTTGTGACAGAGGGAGGCTGTACGTCTTAGAGGGAGAGGGATGTGATGGGTGGGAGGTGATGGGCGAGGAGGGGAAGGGATTAAAGGAATGTGGTATTCCTGTGGTGGGATACTCAGTGCTGATATCACATGAAGGTTTGGATGCTGGACTGACCTTGCCAGCTGTGGGTCAGGTGAGTGCTGTCACTTGTGTTGCTGCTGTAACAACTCAGGGAGGTGCGTTCGGGCTGAAGCACAGCCTGGGATGTCTGTTCTTGTTGGTGGCAGGCTTTCAGCTCCAGTGCTGGAATAGGAAAGGAGCAGCTTTGCAGAATTTGCTTCCAGCTTCTTTGGTGAAGAGGCAGCTTCTTACACGATGGCTATGCAGTGTTTCGTCCTGGCTGGCGTTTGAGATGGTGCTGAACCCGCAGCGTGTTCGTTGTGTGGGGGCTAATCTGAGAACTCTTCCTGCAGGACGGTTTCCTGGAGTACCCGTTTGTTGCTCTAGTTTTTGAGTGGATCCTCATTTGCTGTGCCAAGCGGCCCCATTTCTGATAACGGAGACAGGAATCACCGGGTCGCTTTGTGTGTTCAGGGCTGGATGTGATGGAGTCTGTTGGAGGAGCGGAAAGGTGGGAAACTGCCTGAGGGGGAAGTCGGTCGTTCTGGGTACGGTAATGGTGTGGTTTGTGCTGGTGTGAGTTGCTTGTGTGCACGCTGAAAGCTTTGACCCTGCTTTGGTTTTGGCATCTGTTCTGTAGGGTGGATGGCAGCTGGATTGCTTCCTGGGATCAGTGGGAAACGGCCCTTCTGCACAGGGAGGACAGGATCTGAGGATGGGGCTGTCAGAGCAGGCGGCTTTGCTTCCCTTCAGTCGTGGGCTGTGCAGGCCTTGTGCTGCAACCGGGCTTGGAGTGGTCTGTGTTGTAAATGAGCTGCTGAATGTGAACACTGGAAGCCTTGTTTGAGGGAAGGGGGTTGGGAGGAAAGAGCCAGCTGAATGGAGACAGGCTGGGATCTGCTGGAGTGAGACTAGTGACTACCACTAGTGACTCTTGAGTGACTACCAATTTTAGGTATCTGCAGATTCCTGGTGAGATTTTTTTTCTGGAGCTGGGTTCTGGGATGCAGAGATGACATAAGGAAGCTTCACAGAACAATTTTCAAGTGGCCAGCTCTTCAGCATCTCAGCTTGATGGCTTTGTTCCTGGTGTCAGCTCTTGTCCTGAGCAGAGTGGGGTATTAACGTGAAAACTGGGAAACAGCTACATGAAGTTTCACGCTGGAGTAACTTCTAGCTCTGGCTCTGAGCTTTAGGTGGGTGACCGAACTTCTTGCAACTATGCTAAATTGTAATTGTGAGTTATTTTCCTTTCTCAAGGCCTCAAAAATTGTGAGCTTGAGAGTAGGATTACTCCTTCCAGCCAAGTGGTTTGCTGAGGGGATAGTTCTGCTTCAGATGTGTTTCTCAGATGTTAAAAATGTTCAACCTGCGAGGTAAGGGTAATAAACTAATGCTGCAGTTGTACTACACACCAGCAAAGACCTGTAGCACTCCTGTCCTTTTCTCTTTTGCCCCTTCCAATAATTCAGCTGCTTTCAGGTTGTACTGTCTGTCCAGAACAGCAATCCCAGCAGGAAGCTTTCTGATGTTTCAGGGAGTGCTTGTTGGTTGATTTCCCTTTGAATTCAGCTTTCTGGGTCTGTTCCCAAGCTGTTGCATTTGTTTACTAAAAGCTGAGGCACTCATTCTGTTTCTCTCTTCCTCTCCAGGAAGGTGCAATGGATTTACTGAAAGAACTGAAGAGTATGCCCATGACTTTGGATTTGCTGCAGGTGAGTCGCACAGGTAGGGTGAAAAGCTGAAGTCTGCATCTGGACGAGTTCAACATCTTGTTTAAATGACAGGTGTCCTCACACTTCTTGCCTCATGCAAAGCATCAAAAGAAACATTAAATCCGACCAAATAGTGCTGAACTTGGGTTTTGGACTGGCAGTTAAATAGCTCTGGGTCACCATGTCCTGCCAGAAACCTGTGCAGAGGTAATGGGACAAATATGGGTTACTGCTCAGATCTTGTTTTCAGGCTGCAAAAAGAGGAAATATTATATAAAAGTACTTGAATGTCACTTAGAGTTGTGTAGGGGAGGCATTTGTGGGTGATTGGAGGTTTCTTCTGATAGGCTTGAGAAGCTGGAGAGTGTCATCCTGCTCTTCCAAAGTTGTAAGGATGGTAGAATCATTCTGCAGTTCCTTGCAAACTCATATCTCGGTCATCGCTTTGACTTGGCCATGGGTCTTTCAGATTTCAGGTAGAAGCAAACAATGAATCTGTTCTGGAGTGACTGATTCGAGTGTTCTCTTGCAGTCCACCCGCATTGGGATGTCGGTAAATGCACTGAGGAAGCAGAGCACAGATGAAGAAGTGATATCGCTTGCCAAATCCCTCATCAAATCTTGGAAGAAACTTCTAGGTAAGGAAATCAGCATGTTCCTATCAGATTCAGCTTGTGAAGGAGCTTGCTTCAGTGGGAGGCTGGTTTTCTTGGAAGAACTTGTCTACTGATCTCAATAAAACACTCTAGCAAGTCAGTCTTTGCAATTCCACCCTTGTGTCTTTCGAGTTTTGTGTCCTATCATGCATCCCTCTGGATTTAACTCCTGTTTAGCCAGCTCATCCTTGGAAGAGCATTGAGAGCTTCAGGACTATTAACATGAACCTGTCCATATAATAATTAGCAGCATTATTTGTAGAAACGGTATCTGTGCCCTGAACCCTCCCACCCCACTTAACACAGCGTGTGCTGTCAGCCTTGTGCAGCAGTTTGGAAAGAGGAATGCTGGAATGTATTTTGGGTGATGGGTTGGAGAAGGCCCTTAGTTTACCACCTTGTAGATAAATTCACATGGACTGTTTTCAGCTGTGGAGGCTTTCACAGTGATGGGTTCCCTGTTTCTTGCTGGGCTGGATGAGCATCACAGGAACTGTTTTCCTGTCCTGGCTGGACTGTCATGTCCACATTAGGCTGGGTATGTATTAGCTCTGACTTTTAACTTCTGTGTCAGACTTGTTCTACAGTGTCCTGACAGTCCTCTCCAGGGTTGTGCTGTTGGCTTTCAGCAGCACTTGGGAATCAGGAGAAACTGCACTCCCAGAGGACCAGCCCGTACTGGCCCTTCAGGAGGTGTTGGCTGGAAATGCTGCTTTTAGTGGTGCTTGAGAGAACTTGATCTAATCCCTGCTCAGCAGCCAGTGTGTCTCTGAAAGAAACTTTTGTGATGAGGCATGTCTTGTGAGGAGGCTTATCTCCCAGGCAGGGAAGGTGATTGCTCTCTAGTTTGTTGAGAAAAGCTTTTGTTTGAATTAGGTTCTACTTAGAGGCAAGAAAAGGATCTGTTGTAAAGCAGGGAAGGCCATAAAGGCATTTCTTTCTCTGATTCTTTTTGGAGAATAATAACTTGCCTTAGGCCAACACTAGGCAGTGTGGAGGCACTGATGAGTGTGTGCAGGGCTGTAGCACAAAGAACAGTTCTGATCTCATTCCTCTTCTTATGAATGTAGATGCTTCTGAAGAAAAAGGTGAGGAGAAAAAGAAAAGCCTGTCCTTGCCAACATCTTCCTCCAAGGAGACTGGTAACTCAAGAGACCAGAGGTAATGTTTCCCTTTAACCAAAGATGACACTGTTACAGAATTTAAATTTTCTTAAGGCACCTTACTTTAATTTTTATTTTTTTAAGTGTCTGAGTTGGGAATTTTGTGTAGTGAAATTCCTGATCAGAGACACTGGAAGTGTTTCTTCTTCAGGATTGATCTGTGTGATGTTACCAATAAACTGTAATGCAGAAATATCCACGGGGAGACTTCCCGGCCAGAATGGAGTTCAGGGATGCAGAGAAGCACGGGAGTGAGTGCTGTCCAGATCTGTGTGGATCTGTGTGTGATTTCACTCACAAATCCTGGCTCTGGGCACAGAGGCAAAACCCCACTGGCTCCTTGCTTTGTCATGTATAGTGGGATGTGTGGAGTGGAGTTCTCTGGCTTGTGCTGCTGATGGTCCCCTGTGCCTTGATGTGCTGCAGATATTGCAGTTTTCTGTTTTTTTTTTTTTTTTTAAATCCTTGATGCTTTTTACATGTATTCAGCCTCCATCTTCTGAATAGCAAAGATTCCCCAGGCTGTGAAGGATGAACAGAAGCCAGTGGATTAGAGTAGCGTAGACCAGGAGCAGTGGCCAACTCCTGGTGTCAGTCTGTTGAGCCAGGCTCAATTTCCAGAAGCAGGAATGCTTATTCTCCAGTCCTGCAAAATAAACCACTGGTCTGCCTTAAAAAAACAGTAATTTATTAGCAGCAAAGAGTCTTTGTTCTTTGAAGCACAGGCTGTGATGGAGTCTGACTGGTTGCTCAGTGTGTGATAGCTGGTTCAGATGAGGCTGCAGTCAAGACACCAAAGAGAGATCAGCTTGTATTCAGATATTTCAGCCTCCTATTCTGATAGATTTTGGCCAGGCCTTCCTCTCCTGTCAGGGAGAAATACTTGAGCAGCTCTTGGCTTGAAACTTGCTTTCTGGAGCACAGATGTGGAAATCCCTCTGTAGTGACTGGAGCTATCACTGCAAGACCTGAAGGCTCTGAGCCAGCCAGCCTGGAGCTGGCACCTGTGAGTTTAGATGCTGCATTACTCTAATCCAAAGCATATTCTGTTGTGCTGTAGAATTTCAGACCCTTAGAGTAGTACATGTTAATGGGCTGTGTCTAGTGTTTCTGTCTCTGGCAGCAGGAGCGTTTTCTTTTCCAGGATTCTCTAAACTGCCTTTATTAGGAGGTTTTGGAACTGTGGCCTGAACGTAGCTTTTCTGTGGGATTTTCTTCCAGTGCAGCCCCGAGTTCTGCTTTCAGTCCCTGGCTGCTGCTTTGCCACCATTTTGTTCCAGCATAACCTTTTTTTAATGTATAAACTTTTGTTGCCTGGATAGATTTACAAGCTCTTTCTCCTGTTTAACAGGAACAGTGTGAACCACAAGGATTTCCTGAAATAAGTCTTCTAGGTGTGTTTGAGCTCTACTTCCCAACTAGCCTATTTATAAACTAACCTCTAAACCTTAATAAATAGTTTTATGTCTCTGGAATGGCTGAGAAGTCTGTTTCATCTAATTTGTGAGGGCTCAGCTCTCATCTCAGGGCATGTATGACATGTCTGTATGTAGGCGAATGTGTCTCTCCTCATCAGCTAACAGGAGTGGGATAACCATGCATCTTGACTAGCTTTTTTCTACCTCCAGGGAATAAAAATCTTAAAGTCGATGGCATTTGCAGATAAAACCTTCCTGAAAATCAAGTATTACCTCTGCAAGTATTAGTTTGGAGACCTGGCTTTAAGGACTGCGTGTGGTGAAGGTCAGTGTTCTGAGTTCACACTGAGTTCACTGAGTTCACACACAGTGTTTTGCTCTGGGAGACCTTAGACTGTTGACAAACAGACAAAATTTAAATCTGGAAGAGCTCTCAGGGATGCTTCTCCTTATGCCCCTCCCCAGCACAGCACAGCCTCTGTCCAAGCTGTCCCTGATTGCCTCTTTTCTAAGCTCTTCTTTGACAACCCTTAAAAAACCTCAGGGCAAGGCATTTCCACAGCGGTCCTTGGCAGCATTTCCAATTCATAACTCACCTTTACAGATTGAAACTTGTTCTCAATCAAAACCTGTCTTGCTAAGACCATTTCTACGTTCTTTTGTCTTCAGCAAGTATGGAGGCTTTTTTTCCTACCATCTTATTTTGTAAGGAATTGCAGGACTTGTCTCCTTTAAATTTTCCCTGCCAGAAACCACCCCAGTTCTTTCAGTCCTTCCTTTTATTGTAGGTAGGTTTTCTAGGCTTTTTGCCTTTGTCCTTTGGGAAGTCTCCTTTTTCCAAACTATTTTGTGCAACATGAGCAGCTGTGATTTTCAGCTGGGTTATTCCTGAGTTGTGTATGCTCAGCGTATACCCCCCCATGAGTGCTGCCTGGGATCTGTGTGGAGCTTCTTAAGCACAAAAGTACCTGGTGGCAATTTTTACATCCCAAATGGGAGAAAAATCATCATCTAATTGATTATTTACAGGCTAAGTTGTTTCTTCTTTTACTAACATTTGCAGTGTAAATACTGTTGAATGTTTTGAGCTATTTGGACACAAATCTGCTCTTTAATAGGCTCCTGCAGTGCCAACAAGTAAAACTAGCTGGTAAAAAACAGTTTTATCCAGCTACTAGTCAAAGAGAAACACAATAAGCTTACAGTAAATCCCCCTCTTAGAGTGCATCTCCTTCATCTGAGCAAGAAATTAATCCTCTGCTTTGGTTTGACCTGAACAGTTTGCTGAAGGTTCATTGGGGATGCTTCTGGAAAGGGCCTGGCCAGGTTCTGAACTGCGGAAATCCAGTAGCCCCAGTGATGATCTGTGGGATTTTAGCCAGACTGGATATGACCTTAGCTGCAGAAACTCCTGGGATAAGTCTCTGAAGTTGTCTGGCTCAGTTTGTCCAGCAGCAAAATCGGAAGGTTTCCAGCTTAGCGCTGTTTTTCTGTGGGCTGACTAATCCCTTCCAGGACAGCGTAGTGGAAGTGCTTGTTCATAACAGATTTATTTTGGATGGCAACAAACTGGCAGTAGTGACCCAGCTTAACAAAAATCGTCAAGCCACTTGGATCTTCAAGGAGGTATTGCCAGCATGGCATGGGTGAAATATCAGGTTTTCTCTCTTTTTTTTTTTTTTTCTCCTTTGTCTCTTTAAAGTATTAATGTTACCAGGCATTGGCCATAAATACAGTGCATTTTACAGCCCAGTCACCAAAGCCAGGGCAATCTCTGCTGAAGAAAAATTGCCGTTCTGCTGCTTAGATTTAAGGGGGAGAACAAAGCTCTAGAAAATCATCTGTGAATCATAACAGCCCAAATCTTTTACCATCAGTATTTGCAGGGCTGACTAACCCCCTGTGCAGATGTTAGGCTTTATGGGTGCACACCCAGCTGAGCTGCTCAGTGAAGCTCCTTCTCTGCAGGCAGCCCCTGCAGCGGTGACTCAGCCTGCCCACATCATGTGCTCATTGTGCAGGCAGGTTTCCATCCAGCTCCCCTGGCAGGTGATCTGACTGAGTCAGCCCCAGCAGGCAGGTGTTTGCATTCCCTTGCCTGTGCCCATGATTGCTTGCAGGTGGAAGTGAAGTTATTTTTGAGAGCAAAGCAGTATTTCTTGGTTCTGTGCTAGCCCAGCACCTGTGTGAGCTGTGTGTGGCTGTGTAGGGGTGCTGTTCTGTGAGATGAGTAATCAGAGTCTTGCTCAGCTTACAGGAAAAAGGAAGATCCTTTTATGTGTTATGCTTTATTGTTTGTTTTTTTTTTTTTTAATATCAGAGCTGAAGGAGGCATTTTTGTTTTTTTTTTATCTTCTTTTCCTTAGCACAGAAGCTCCTCCTTCTGGAGGGGCTGGTGTTGTCTTCTCTGATTTCTGCCTCAGAAGTCAGCATGCCGCACTCCTTGATGGCTGCAGAGAGCTGGAGTGCTTTTTTTGTTTAGCTGTTCTCTTTCCTGCTGCTGAAATCTTGCTAAAGAATGAGATTAACTAGTGGTGTTTTCTGCTCGATTTCTGCTGAGAGCAGTTGAGTGCCTCGTGTCCTGCAAAGTCAGAGAGGAAAGAAGTACCCTGGATCTGCTCTACACTGCCAGACTGAGAGAGCACTGATGGTCTCAGATGTCTGAGTGTATTTGAGTTACTGGTGGTGTCCAACACTAATATTTTCGCTTGGTGGCCTGTGGTGCAGCAGCTGATACATGTTGAATAACACAAGATGGTTGGCAGGGCTGTTCATGGACTGAACCTCTGCTGGCAGCCAGCAGTGTCCACAGGGGAGCTCGTGCCCGGGCTGCTGTGCTGTGCTCTGTGCTGATTTGGGGCAAAGCTCTCTGCACTGTGTCCCTCTGACTGGTTCTGTGTTATGATCAACAGGATGCTTGGCCACACACCTGCTGCTCCCCTCTCTGCTCTCAGTGGCCCGAACTGAGACATTTCTGACAGGTTAAGTTTTTCTTTTAGCTCCAACAAAAGGCAGGAGCCTCCGAAGACTCCGACCACCCCCAAAATCACCACCTTCCCTCCGGCGCCCGTCACGTGCGACGCTGTCCGCAACAAATGCAGAGAGATGCTGACAGCAGCCCTGCAGGCTGATGGTAAGTGCTGGGGGGAGCCCTGCACTGCCTGAAGTGCTTCACAGCTCCTGCAGCATTCTGACAGAGACTTCTGCGTGTAAGCCAGTGCCAGCTCAGTTAAAATATGCCATTCTGGAGCAGCCTTGTCAAAGGATTATTGCCAGCAGCTCAGTCTAGCCATTGGTCACCCCTTTGATCAACTGGCTGCTTTTTCAGACACTTGCACAAGGACCTGGCAGTGTACCAGGCAGTGGGTGTTAAGAACATGGGTTACTTGGGGTCTTCTGCTTTGTACCAGGGGGTGATGTGGAGTCCTGAGGTGAGATGAGAAAGGAAGGCTTGATCCCAATGCTCTACATTTCCAGGCCCTGCCACAGTGTTGGTCTGTGTAGACCTGCTTCTCCCTGACACTGGTATCTTATCTGATGATACTCAATTCCCACCTATATATGTTTGATTTCAATTATACCAAGAATATATTGGAAAACTTAAGTTCTGGGGCCAAAGTTCTTGTTAGCTTTGTCTTGTGCAGTCCACATCCTAGAGAGGCACAGTGCACAGACTGCCTGGATTAATCTGTTTTCATCACTACACTTTTCCAAAAGGTTAGAGAGTAGCTAGAGCAAGATTTGGTATTTGGTGGAAGCAGCACGTAAATCAAAATAGCAATTTGTCCAGATTTGTGTCTCAGAAAAGCTGTGCCTGGGGAGCCCTGGCCTGGCTGGAAGTCCCTGATCTCCTGTTCATCCTGTCTTACAGACGACTACATCGCCATCGGTGCTGACTGCGAGCACATAGCAGCCCAGATTGAAGAGTATATCCTTACTGTACAGCCCTTCCTCGAGGGCCTGCGTGCCTCCAGGAGTGAAATCTGTGTGCTCAAAGGAGAAACTGTCTGTTTAAATGTTCTGCTGCAACTTGTCAGCGTTCTGGGGCTGGTTCCAGCTCTGCTTGGCTGAGTCCTGGGTCACTAAGGAACCACCAGTGTGGTGCTGGGAGCTCAGGGACTGTAATCCCTAGTTTGTCCTTACCATCAGTGTGCCCTTTCCTGCTCTTCACTCTGTTTCCAAATATATGCAACTTCCCTGTGCTCCTTGTTAAGGAGAGTGTGCTGATCTAGACAAAAGCAGTGGAAAAGATGGAGCAATGAGGATCAAGTTCCATGTAGGTGTGATATAAGCCGGGAGTTTGCTTGGTTTGGTGGGGGGTGTAGGGTAGGAGGTGCAGCTGGGCTCTCTCAGTGAAGGGGTTTGTGGCTGCCTTTTTAAGAGAAAGAGCAGGTTGAAGAACCTGAGCATAACTATTTCCAGCACAGTGAAAAAGCCCGAACTGGAAGCCGCTGGACTCTGGTATAAACCAGCCCTCAAATCCAGCACTGACCTCCCAGAGCAGATGCTGCTGTTGGGCTCCAGCACCTTCATCTGTGTCCTGCAGTGGGTAACACTCCCTGTTCTTCACGGGTGGCTGGGAAGTGCTTGAGGCCTCTGGGTTGATTGCAGGCTCCTTGACTGCCCCGTACGCATTTACCAAGATGTCAAGAACACCGACATGAAATACAAGAACCGGGTGAGGAGCCGCATCTCCAACCTGAAGGACTCCAAAAATCCTGAGCTGAAAAAGAACGTGCTGTGTGGGGCCATCACCCCCGAGCAGATCGCGGTGATGACCTCGGAGGTGAGGAAGCCTGAGGAGCGGGGTTTGCTTCTTGGAGGGAAGATGTCATGAGGTTTGGCTGGAGGCAAAGGGCTGGGCTGCTTCCAGGGTTGCAGATTTCTCAGTAGCTGCTGCCAGAGTGCGTGGAGTGAGCCAGCAGTGGGGTTTGCAGTGTGAGGAGTAATCTGTTGAGCCTTCAGATCATCACTGGGGCCTGGGTGTGAACCAGAAACCAGGAATGAAGGCTTTGTGTGTTAATGCCCTTCTGTCAGGCCACCCTGTCCTGTTGGCTGCTTCCACTGTAGTGGGTGTGGTAGTAAAACTGGACAGATGTTATTTTTTTTTTATTGCCTTTTTTTTTTTTTTTTTTTAAGGAAATGGCCAGCAATGAGCTGAAAGAGATCAGGAAAGCCATGACAAAAGAAGCAATCCGGGAACATCAGATGGCCAAGACAGGAGGGACGCAGACTGACCTCTTCACCTGTGGGAAATGCAAGAAGAAGAACTGCACCTACACCCAGGTTAGTCTTCCTGCTCCTACAGCCTCCACACCGCTGACCTCTGCACAGGACATCATCTGTCATGGCCACGAGCTCGTGCTGCCCTGGGACAGGCCCTGCAGGCACAAACGTTGCCACTGGTGGACAGGGCCCTTGAGGCTCTCTAAAATGTGCTTTTTGCACATGTTTCCTTGGAGCTTGTGAAAGTCTTTTTGGCTCATTTGTACAAGAGTTGTGGAGCCACAAGGAAGCTTTTCAAAAGTACAGCAGTGCTCTACATCGAAAGCAGGTGCTGGGAATGCTGGGACTCAGACAAGAAAGGAGTGGGTAGCGTAGAGGAGAGTCTGCAGAAACCAAGGCAAACATGGTATTGAAAGTGCAAATTAAGAATGTAGATAACCTGCAGCTGAACAAATCCCAACTTAACTAAAATCAAGCAGTGTGAAACAGGTGAAACAAAAGGAATACATGAAGCAGTGATATGAGCAGGCAGAGAATTTTTCTTCTCTACAGCCAGCTGCTGGTAGCCTTGTGCATCCCCAGTGCTTCTTAGTTCCCATGTTTGTGCCAGGCATCAGGAGATAACTGGAGTCCAGCTGCCTTGTATTGGGGCAGGACACAACAGTGTCTTCTAAATGAAAATGCTTGGAGGGTTTCTGTATTTTTATTGGTTTTCCAATGAAGTCACCAGTGGGTGATGAGATGCTGTAAGACCCAAGTAGATGAACTGGTGTTTATGAGCACGTTAGAAGGCAGGCAGTAATGCTAGGGGAGGATTACAGAATTTAGCTTTTCAGCATGCTTGCAAGAATGCTTAATTTGCATCATGCAAATACTGTGACATATTGGGTAATTACACACGTAGATGACCATAATTACCCCTTGGCACAGTCCTGCTGCTTGACTTGTGCAGGAATGCCAGTGTTTTCAGTGTAGATCTGCCTTGTGGTATTCAAATGCCATGAAAATCTGATTTTCAGTAAAGTATGTGTTTCTGGCAAGAGCCAGTCAGAGGCAGCAATCACATCTGGGTTAAATATTGGAGTTCCTTAATGGCTCAAATACAAACCAGACTGGAAATGTGCAGAACCTGGTAACCCAGAGTGTGTTCCTGTGAGGCCAGGATGTAGGACTGGTCTGTAAATGGGAATGGTTTGAGTGCTTTTATATGTGTGGCTGTGGAGCACGTTTTTGGGTCTGAGGGTTTTGTCATCTCCCTGCTGGCCATGTCCCTTCCTGGGGGACAGTTTGGGGAGGGATTGGCTGTGGGCACATCCATCTCTGGATCCACCCATGAGGAATGGGCAGCAGAGAGAGTGAGCAGGGAAGTCTGCTGCCCCAAAACACATCACTCAGGTAGTGTCAGGCTGGAGAGGGGTCATGATGTATGTACAGGTTGTACCTGTGTATAACACAACAACCAGGAAAACTCCGTTCACCCCTCCCAAGCCTCGGTCACATTGAGTTTGTGACCCCAGCATGAATCCCTGGAGGCTGGAGGGAGGGGGGGAAGCTCCCTGTGCCTTCCAGGGGCCATGTGTGATGCCGGGCTCTCATTTCCCTCCTGTCCTCCCCAGGTGCAGACCCGCAGCTCCGATGAGCCCATGACCACCTTCGTCGTGTGCAACGAGTGTGGGAATCGCTGGAAGGTAGCGCACCAAGGCTATGAATGGCACTGAGGGGTGTTAGGGGGGCTGCACCCACCGTGCTGCAGGCACTTGGCTGCTGCTCAGAGGTGTTTGCCAAACTCTCACTGGCTCTAGCAAGTGATCTTCCCTCCCAGCAGAGAGGCAAGAGCTCCTGGGCTCATCCCATCTCTGCAGACCAGCTGGGGTCAAGTCCCACTTCCACATTCCCTGCTCCCTCATCACATCCCTTCTTCCACGATCAGCTTCACAGTGCTTTCCATGCTCCCTCTGAGAGATGGTGGTGATGACACTCAGGATTTCAAAACTGCTCTTCCACGCTGCGCACAGAGCTCGAGGGGGCGAGCAGGAGTCTCCTGGTCGGTGGCGAGCAGAAATGACGCCACTACAAAGTGCCAAAGAGCCACAGCCGAGAGATTCAAACGGGACCTCCCTTTGGCCCCTGCTTCTGAGAAACCCCCCCGAGCCCTTGCCAGCTTCTGAAACAAAGCCCCTCACCTGGATCCTTACCTTCCTCTAGGCAGCACGAGCCGCAGCTCCCCTCGGCAGCGAGGTTTCTAACCGGGGTTTCAACTCCCTTCTCTTGCAGTTCTGCTGACATGTGCCACGGCCCGAGGGCGGCAGCCGAGCGCGGCCCCGCGCGCAGCCTCCACGCGCCAGCTCCCACGGCAATTGTGTTTTGTGTCCCAGTGAGTTTGCATTGTCACGCGCTGAGAGAGCAGCAGCGGGGAGGCCTGGGGGGCCTCGCGGAGAGCCACAGCCCTGGCTGGGCTGGCAGGTTGGCAGGAGAGCTCACTAAACACGCCCAGTCGTTATTTTTCTCATCTAAGCGAGTACGGTCACTTCCTCTTCAAAACTAATATTAAACATTTTTGTCAGTTTCTGACTTTTTATTTCAGCTGTGTGTGCAGCACTTTTGCTTTTCGGGGTGTGGAACTGCGTGGGAGTTTGACAGATGGTTGAGGACTGATTGGAGCACCAGAAAGTGAGATGTGACTTGTAGGTATATCCTCAGCACGTGAAGGCTTGTTCCTGTCAGCTCATCAAATCTAAACCACTGGGCCAAGCCCTGGTGTGTCTGGGTGGGCAGTACTGTTGACAGAACACAGCTTCTGGGGCACAGATCAGATGCTGCTTTCCACCTTGGCAGCATTCTCTTGATTTTTCAGTGATTCCTTGGCATGTCGAGCCTTTAAAGGCCAACAGCATCAGCTGCAGAAAAGGTGAGAATGTGCTGCCTGAAGAGACTGAAAGAGGGTGACAACATCAGGAAAGGTGAGAATGTGCGGCCTGAAGAGACTGAAAGAGGGTGACAACATCTGCAAAAAAACCCCACCCCAAACTGTTGATTTGTGGAAGCAGGACAGGGAGGAAGCTTTTTCTGGGATTCCATCTGTCTGTAGAAGGAGACCCTTGTAGCCAAGAGCTCCCTCAGCTCAGGCTGGGAGCAGGGAAGGCCAGGGCAGTTACAGGGAGGGTCCAGCAGCCTTTTGCTGTTCCTGCTGCTTCCCATTAGGCTGCTCCCCAAGGCTGCCTGCTCCCCACAGCCATCATGCTGGCATCCTGGGAACAGTTAATCTTGATGGAGGGAGAAGCCATCAGTAAAGAAGGTGGAGGGCATCCAGTGGGAGTGTTCAAAGGGAGTCCCAGGCACTTTCCTGCTTGTCTGTGCTCTGCTCTTTGCTTGATGACAGAAAGGCATCCTGGATTTTCAGAGGGCCTTGCTGGAGAGGCTCAGGAGGAGTGAAAATACTGCAAATACAGGAGATTTTCCAGAGGCTTTGATCTGGAGGAGGTAGGGATTAGCTGTTAGCACTTGGCTGTAGAAACAGAGGAGGTTTGAAGTGTACTCAGAACTGGTACTTGGAAGGGGTGAGATAAGGAAAGGATCCAGTAGCAAAGGCAGCCCCAGGTGCCACATCTGCAGATGTGACACTGTGAAAGGGGACCTACTGTGAAGGGAATCAGGCTCCTTCTGGGAGGTAATTAGAACCTGGTGGGGAAATTCCATGTGAGCCCACAAGAGCTTTCGCAGAGACTTAAAATCCTTCTTCCCTGCTTTTAATAGCCTTTAACTGGGGTTAGGCAGCAATCTGGGGGACCCCAGCAAGGCCTCCAGGTTTGAGCTGCTCGAGAGCAATGCTGGGCACTGCAGCTCTTGGGCTGGCCAGCAGGGCAGGAGCATTTGCAGTCACATCTCATGGCACTGCTTCCCTCTCTCAGAATGAAAAACAAGTATTTCCACTGGTTTCCCAGCACGCCAGACAGCAGACATTGAGCAGAGACCTCGGAGATGTTTGGAGGGGAGTAAGCAGCCACATGAAAGCAGCGGAAAACGTGCTCACAGCCCCTTTGAGGGCTGTGCTGCTCTGGAGGCAGGGATCCCACCAGCATCCTTCGCTCAGGGCTTTCACTTTACAGGGTGCAGCCAAGTCTCCCAAGAAGGAAAAAGATTCAAAGACGCTGACAACTCCTTTAAGCCTCACGAGTCTTGTGGTGAATGGGATTATTCGAGCCAGGCTTGGGAGGGAGCAGCGTCCTCGCAGTGATGCCGAAAAAAAAGCTTCAGGATCCTAAACCCACACTGGCCACGGCACTGGCTCGTGTGCTGGGAGCAGGAGCCAGCTCTTAACCAGTGGCTTTCTTCTTGTGTTCCTGTGAGGAGCTGGGTTGAGTTTGGGTACAGCTGGCTGACAATCCTGAATTAGGTATGGAGAGTCCCAAGCAGGAGTGAGGGAAAAGTACAGTGCCATTTTCTGGAATAACACAGAGGAGAGCCAGGGAGGGGAAGGCCACTGGATAAAGAGGTGTTTCAGAAGTAAAGACCTGCTTATAAGGTGACTAAAAGTGCTGGGATTGGGAGCAAGAGAAAAACTAGGTTATCTGGTGGTAGCAGGGTCTTCACTGGGCCAAGACCTCTATAGTGTGGAGGGACTGACCCCCCTGCCATGCTCGTGAACAGCTTTAGGGATGTTCAACCTTCAACCCTTAAGCTGGGGCCACATTTTGAGACTATTTTCCTTATTCACAAAATAAACCAGGCACTCATAACTAAAGCCTTCCCTGTGCAGGGTGGGGATGCTGTAGGGGTGCAGACTGGGCACTGGTGGGGGAAAACCTGCCAATAATAACAACAATACCGACATTCCTAGCAAACCATTGCTGGTCTCTCTCAAAAATACATTTTCTTGAACTCTATTTCCAGCTTGGCAGAGAAAACTAAATTTACTGACATGAATTTCCACACAGTCATGCCATGAGGAAGGAAGGAAACCAAAAAAAAAAGAAACCCCAACAAAACAACCACCCCACAAAAAAAAATGCTAAAAGAATTTGTTTGTTTAAAAAATATCTTCAGTAAAAAGAACCAGTACTCTTTTTTCTGTGGAAGGGCCAAAGAGAGAAGGAGGGGAATGGGTGGATAAATAGGAAACTGCTGTGGTGGGTCAGGAAAAGCAAAAGACCAGCATCAAAACCCTTGCATTGGCTTCATTTCAGCGTGGAAGGCAGGGACGGACGTGTTTGAATCCTGCATGCTGGGGCTCCAGTAAACCATTCCTTGTGCTGTACAAAAACACATGGATATTCTGTATCTTCCCTGTGACATTTCCCATCCTGGGTGGAGCCCAGGTCGCTGCTTGGTGCCAAGCTGCTTCCAAGGGACCGGGGCACATCTCTGGCCTTCTCCCCACTGGTGGGGCAGGTGTGGGCCGGCAGGTGTGGGCAGATTAAGGGCTCCTGGTGCATGTGGGTTCTTCAGGAGAGCAAACCACACCTGCACAGGTGTTTTCCCTATTCCTGAGGTCCCTGAACCAGCATGCAGCATGCTCTGGATTCAGGGTGACGGCACGTGATGTCCTGGGGCTGGAGCAGTGCTGCTGTGTGACAGGGACTGGTGGGGGAGGCAGCTGTAGGGTACCCCCTGCCCACCTGCTGAGCATATCCCTACGGTCTTTTCTGGCCCCTCAGAGCCCTGCCCTCTAATCCATCCATATCCATCAGGAATAGAGACAGGCTGCAGTGCTGCCCCCCACCCCTTGGGCCACCTAAAACAGACCGAGTGATGTAAACCTGACAAGTTTTTATATGTACAGACACACTTGTCAAACCCCCCTCCCGCCCCTCGAGTCCCCCAGTAAAAGCCAACCCAAAAGAGCATTTAAAATTAAAAGTAAAAAAAAAAAAACAAACCCACAAAACAATTGACCTCCCCCCCCACCTCAAAAAAAAAAAAAACCCCAACTCAGTCCCCAGCTGGGTCTCAGGTGGGAAATGGGGATGTGCCGTGTCCCGAGGTGTGGTGGAGATGGGATAAAGTGACCTCTTCAAAACAGGGTGCGGGGGAAACCGGGTCCCAGGCGCTCTCCCATGAGCTCCCCCAGCTCGCTCCGGCCAGCGGCGGGGACGGGGCAGGGGTTCAGTAGTACGAGCCGGCCCGGGCTGCGCCTCGGGGACAGTCCTGGAGCATGGCCCAGACACCGGGGAGACAGTTCACAGGTAAAAAGCTAAAAACTTCGTGGGGGCTGGCAGGGAGGGTGGCGGAGGTGAGAAGGCACCAAGGCCCCCCAGCCACTGTGTCCCCATCAGCATCCCCGCGGCCGGTGGGCGCCCTTAGGACTCCGAGGAGGAGTGGGAGATGCTCTGGAGCAGCGATTTGTATATGGCAGAGTTCAGGAAGCGGGGGTAGGAGTCTCTGTGCATCAGCGTGTAGATCTGGAGCTGTGCGTCGTCGAAGGTGTGCGAGGACGGCTCCTGCATCTTCCGGTTGATGACCTCCCGCACCCGCGAGTCCAGGCTCACCTGGGCGGCAGGGAGAGAAATTGGGGGCTGAGGGACACCCAAGGACAAGACCCCAGCCCCAGCACCCACCCCTGCACCAGCTCTCGTGGGAAATTGAGTATCAATACAGCACTGTGGCCAGATGTGGGAAGACCACGGTGAGCTCCATCCTGGGTGATATTGGCACCGGAACCGCGGTGGTTTAGGGAGGGTTGCAGGGAGGAGCGGGGAGCTCTCTGGGTCCCCTGCCGTGTCCCCCAGCTGGGCACAGGGAGGCGGGTGGGGGTGCTCCCGCCCTGGGTGCTCCCACTCCGGCGATGCCGCAGGCCGGGATGCAGCATCTCCTCGGCCCGATGGTGCCCTCGTGAGGTCTCGGCCCTGCAGCACAACCCGGCCTGTGATCCCACAGCCAGCTGCGTCCTGAGGATTTTGCGGGGCCAGGGCTCCTCTCCCTACTGCCGTTACCCTGCCAAACTCATCCCCAAACTGTCACAGGGCTGTGGTGGCAGCTGGGACGGAGCCCTCTCCCTAAGAATCCTCCCCAGCCTCATTTTAGTCTGAGCCACCCCCTCAGGGGCTCTGCCTCATACCTCCTTGGGAGAGAGGATGGAGATGTAATCCTCGTAGATCATCCTGGCCTTCTCGTCAATGGTGTGCTTGTTGCACTCGGTTTTGAGCTCCTCACACGCCAGCCAGAAGAGCATGTTCTCCTCGCTGTACTCAGTCCGCAAAAACTCCCGGAAGACGTTGCGCCCCGCCGGGCTCTTCATCAGCTTGTCGAAAGACTGTGCCCAGCCCTGCACCTCCTCCGGCGTGGGTTTGGCACTGACAGATCCAGGGGAAGGCAAGGACACAGCGTTACAGCTGGCCAGGGAGGGCAGAAGGGACGGTGCCATGCTGTTACCATGCCATGCTGCTCCCCCCACCATGGCACTGCCCCTGCACTCACCACGCTTCACAGTTAGGGATGGTCTCCAGTTTGGTCTCCCGGGATGCCCTCCATGCTCGCTCCCGGTCCTCGTTCCTAACGGGGAGACAGAAAGGTAGTCAGGGGCATTGGGGGCACTTACAGACCCCCACCTTGACCGCTGAATCTCCTCTGTGGGCACCAGCACCCCC